ATTGTGTTCAATTTACTCTCTCCTGTACCTGATGGTTGTATTTTTAATAATGATTGATTTTTAATAATTGTTTTTAATATATTTATTGTTTTATTTTAATTGCTGTACACCACCCAGAGTCACTTCATGTGAGATGGGCGGCCATATAATTTGATAGATAGATAGATAGATAGATAGATAGATAGATAGATAGATAGATAGATAGATAGATAATATTTTCTTCCACATCCGTTTTCCACTCTTGACATTACCAAAACACTCTTATCAGGTCTTGTATCCGTAAACTGTCTCAATCTTTCGTCATCAATAATAGATCAGTTGTGCTTTTTACCTTATTCTTTTCCCACGCACGCATGTGTTCATTCATTCATTCATTCATTCATTCATTCATTCATTCATTCATTCCTGAGCTTGAAAACGGGTTTCCCCCAAGAACCTCACCAGGCTCTCCCAAGTTCCCATGCACTTCTCTCTAAGTAACGTTGGGCACCCATTCAGCGGTCCCATCCAGGGCAGTGGAGGGATCTCCATGGATCGGTTCCCCTCCCCTTCCCTGTAACATCTCTTAGTCATGAACAGTGAACAGATTTACCACATTTACTTCTAATAGGGATGAATGGTTAACCCTGGTCGACACTGAGAGAGGGTGAAGGGGGAGAGGGCAGAAGAGCCTGCCAGGAGCCAACCTCTGAGCTCTGCGTCAGCTCTGCAACCAGCATCCGGCCTCCTCCCCTTCCCACGGGACATCCTCGTCCGGCAGCTTTTGTTGCTTGTCACTCTTGGCTGGCAGCCTTAAAGGCAGACGGCAGGCCAAACGGGTCCTCCAGCTTCTCCGACATCAACTGCTGGATGCCCGGCATTGCCAGCTTGCGTGACGTCCCCCTCTGTCTCTCTGGAGTCGTGCTGCGTCCCGGCTGCTTTCATCCCTCTGCTGACTCTGCCAGCAGCTTCCTCCATTGGCCAGTTTGCTGCCAGTCAAACCGCTCGCTGCTTTGCAGGGG